TCTCTGGCGCCCTCTGGTGTCCTGTGCAGACCTTCTTAGGATGAGTGACATGCGTCTCCTCCACAGGAAAGGGATGATAGCCTGGATCTCACAGGGTTTGGAGAAAGTTGTTCCTCAGCCGGATCTAAAGAGCAAAGAGTCGCCAGCAGCTGAGCAGCAGGTTCAGGTACGTCATCGACATTAGTTTTGTTTACTCTACCTGGTCCAGGATCTAGATCCTCATACAGAAAATGATCATCCAGCTTCAGCAGAAGACAAATGAACCATATCTGAAGAGGTGTAACGTCTTTGACAAACTAAAGCAGAGGTCCTTTTGTCTTCTCCTTAAAAGCTAAGGATCAGCAGTGTGAGAGTTAGTTAAGCTTCTTAAGCTTCACATAAACTGAGCACAGATCATCAATCCACCACAGAACTATCTGCACTGGTTGGTAAATCTGATTATGACCTTTTTTTGCTCTGATGCAGCAAACAGCAGCTCCAGCAGGTAAGAAACATCTCTGTCTTCCTGCAACTGAACTTCAACTAGGAGCTTCTGCTTCAACACTTTCCAATGTTTAACCTGCAGAACCTCAGAATAGCGGGAAGGAACAGGAAGCAACGGACCAGACAGCTCCGCCCAGGTCAGCTTCATCGCCGCTCTGTAAGGTCACGGTTAGGGACTGATGGTTTTAAGGGTTGAATAATTATGTGGTAGGTTGACTGGTTTGCAGGTTGGCTGATTAATTAACCGGTTGGTTTATTGATTAATTAGTTTGTTAGTTCTTTGACCGCTTCATTGGATGGTTGATTGATGACCGTAATTCAGTGGGCGTTTTATCAGCTGAACTTACATAATATTTCCAAAAGTGTTCATCTACTTTGATATCAGCATGAACATTTATGAACTTTGAACCAGGATAATTGTTGTTTTACAGCAGGTTCCTGTTCTGTGAAACCTTTAGAATACACAGATATCACATCAGCATATAGAAGAAACACCAGGTAACATGACACATTTTAAGCTCGACATCAGTCCAAAGGAACCTACCTCTCAGCGGTGAACGCTGTTTATCAGATGGCGGGCAAAGTTCTTTTTAAAAACCACCCGGGATGAATTAGTCTTTATATTATGCAGACTGACATTAAATGCTTTGGTTTAAAGAATGACCTTTAGCCTTTGCAGTTTTTGAAGGGTGGTCAGTATGGGGTAAGATGTTGTTCAATAAAGACGTTTGCCAGGAATTTGTAAATGAACATCATTATAGGAGAATAAATGTAACATTTATGTTGGTTCCTTGTTGTCAGCTCCTACATATGTGCAACATAAGATGTTTAATCTCTAAAGCCGGGCGTACACTGTCCGATATTTTCAATCGTTGCAAGAAGCTACGGCTCAAACTGCAAAATGAAACGACAGGGTTTAAAAGTTCCCAGATCAGGATGTTTGTTCTTCTGCTGTACCACCCGATGCTCTGATGCGATCTACCTGCTCACAGGTCGCACTCAGCACAGAGGCGACCTGTGATGGCCTCTGCGCTGGTCGGACTCGTCAATCTCTAAAAAGAGGAAGAACTCGGTTGTTTGCGCATTCGTGATACAAAAGGTTCTGGTAAATCGGCTCGTAGCTCAGCTTCAACAGCAGGATTTTCCCACGACCGCCTTACGACGGCTGACTGAATTTCAAACCTGTTTGATTTTCTCCCGACCTTATTATTCCTGACCTGGAGGCTGGAGGTGGTCACGAGAGGCTGATCGCCCCCCTCCCCCGTTACCCCCAGTAAACTACACGATGCAGGACGCACCATGAGGCTGAAACTCGGCCCGATCGAAAAAATTCTCGCACGACTGGATAATCGGCCCGAAAAGGGAAAAAAAATCGTAGTTTATTAACAATACAAGTTTTTAAGTTACAACTTTGAAAAACTATAAGTGGAAACAACAACTTTTACATGAATGAATCACTAACTTACAGGTGCAAATCTAAATTTCGAAGTACTAATCACACATTTTTGAGTATTTATGAATTTGCAGGTATGGACCTACAACCCCTGATGAATCTTTAGACTCCTGACCAGTTTATAATGGGAATGGAATTAAATGTTATTTTGATCCCCAGGATTAGAATAAAGAAGACCATGAAAACAGAGCAGTAGACTGGAAGTCATATCTATGTTGAAATGTTTTCAACAAATGCCCAAAATAATATTCAATCAACTGCTGAGTTCAGATTCAGCGGCTGCGTCCTCCAAAGGCCAGATTCCTCGGCCGATTACGTCATAATAAGGCCTGTTCGGATCGGAAGGGTCGTTGTTATGCGACCAAAACATGCGTCCGTCTGTTTGCCCGTCTTGAAGGACGGGTCCAGTGTGTCTCATCTAGGATATCCCGTTATTTATTGCAAATCCAAACAAGCCGGCTGCTCTGTGCTCAGAGGAATAGCGAATCGGCGCTAAACAGTGCAGTTTAATAAAATCCAAGTATGTGAACAGTTCCGTCTGAAATTAATGAAAATAGTCGTTTTAAATGGTTATTGAGTCATTTATGTGGCTGATAATGTTTGGTTTTTTTCCTGCTACCAACTGCTAACGAACGTAGCAGCTTATCAGTGTATATTCCCGCTGGCACGATTTGTACTATTTTGCAACTATTTTTTTTAACTACTTAACTTGTAGATTAAACATTTTATGTCACATGTGTGAAGGAGCTAAAAAAAAAACAAGAAACAAACACATTTCTTAAATTTATTCAAATCTATTGACTTACAGTAACAAATTCAGTTATTCTTATTGAAAGTTATCTTACTCCATACAGTGGTGGCAAATGTCCATGTGTACCAGACCTATTGGGATGTTCATTTCCTGTACTGAGTGCAGACATGACAGGAAGTACATCATTTTTAAATGGTACTATGGGAAGATTGGAAAAACAGATTTGTTCCACTATATAAAATGTCATTATTAAGACTTAAGGCATGATAGAGAGAGTGAGAGAGAGAGAGAGAGAGAGTCTGCAGTGCATTTTATTATAGAGCTGGCTGTAGGTTCCAAAATGTTATTAGTTGTTAGTGACCAAAAAGGCAGAAAGGAAATTAGGAAATATTTGTGTTTGAATCAGAGGATGAATTGTTTGACCTCATTCCTGAATAAGGAAGCTGAGATGAAATGGAACAGTTTTTGTTCCGCCTTAATACTTTAGGCTCATAGATGGTTGCTGTATTGAAAGCTATAGTGGAGGATGTTCTTTTTCCAGGTGGATCATCAGAATAAGTGGTCCTCCTAAATGTCAGTCATTCTGGTGATATAATAACTGTGGAAGAATATTTTTCCTTTGCCTAATTGTGAGATAAAATGTTTTAATTTTTCCTTTCCTCTGCATAAATAGGGCTGATTGTTCAGAGGTCTGGTTCCAGTCTGTATGCAGGAGTTTAGTTATGGAGTTTAGATTGGGGAAAACAGGAAGCAGTTTCCTCGCTGCTCTAGATATCAGTGAACCATGAGAGATAAGATGAGTTCAATCAGCCTCCTTCATTGCTGTGAGCGGCAGACCTGCTCTGAGTGTTTATCTGGCTAAAAGCTATGTGCTTGATGAATTAAAGGGTTTTTTCTTGGGAATAACCAAATGTTCGTATGTGAGAAAGTTCTTTATGTAGAGATGGGATCCATAGGAGAGAGAGTGTGTTGGGAGGTGCTGTATAAATGTATGTACTTAGCTTTGCCCAGTCAGAACTCTATCTCTCCGTCTGAGGACTTTCAATAAATTGTTTCTTCCAAGAAACGCCTTGACCTCAGCTTCCTAACTCCGTCCTACGTTCTCGTCCCCGTTTTAACTTAGCAGTGGTGAGTGTGACATAGCGTAAAAACACCAAATCTTCTTTTGGAAAGTAAGATTTTATGAGCGATGCAAACAGCAATGTTTAAACAGAGCGTGCACGAGGAGAAATGGGCTCCTGCACGCTCTGGCACTCGATCGAATAGGCGATCCCTCGCAGGAGCGGTACATGGCTGTGCATGTGCTTTTTTTTTTTTTTAGGTAAAGAGAGCGGATCTAATCATATATTTGCGAAAATGCTCCACTATATCTTTAAGTCAGTCCATGATAATGTTACTAGAAGTATTAACAATAAAATGGTTAGAAACTGACTTAATGTATCCAAAAGTAATGTTTTTTTAAATATCAGTAATTAAATGATCACATGTTTGCTAATAGATTCAATATTTGAGCCAGGCAGAAATATAACAGTATCATCAGCATAAAGTGATGTCTGACCCATTTCCAGCATGATGGAGTGGATCAAGCACGGCATCGTGAAGGTGGTTCCTCAGCCTGAGATCCCTCTGAAGACGGAGCCTGAACCCCAAGCTCCACCTAAAGGTGCTTAAAATGGATTCTACTGACAGTCCATGAGGTGGCATCATTGGAAAATAGAATCTACTGAAACATTTGTCCTGCTTTTGGATGATTACAGCTCCTCCTGCAGCTCCTCCTGCAGCTCCTCCTGCAGCTCCTCCTCCTCCTCCTGCAGCCATGAAACCAGCCTCAGAGACAGAGTGAGGCAACCATCTGAAACACATTTATTACTATTTCTTTCTGCTGTTGATCCTTTTAACTTCCTATTGGTCAGATTTTTTCGATTAGCATTTTTGATTTCTAACTTTAGCAGAGTAGCTGATTCCACCAAACCTGCTGATTCCAGCTCAGATGTTTTCCAGTCTGGACAGTAAACCTTTAGGTCAGGTAAAGAGACAGAAGATAACGTCTCTCTTTGCTTCTTCACACCTCTAGGTCTGCAAAGGAAGCAGAGCAGCAGCCAAAGTAGGTGGAAATATTTGTTTTGATTCTTGCTTTTTAAAATCCAAACTACAGAAACCTAAAGATTTTGGATTTTTTTAAGGTTCAAAGGTCACCAGAAGCCTGAGAACAATTTCTAACAGTTTTAGAATCATAAAAAGGTTTTAACCTGAAGGATCTCCTCAGTCCTCAAGAGCCAAAAAGAGACACATCATCCAAAATTAAAGGCATATATTATTTTAAAGTGAAAAAAGTGGTTAAAAATGACTAAATAAATAAAAGTAAAACAATAAAGGAGAAGTCCGGTCAGCAAGGAATGGATCCTTATTTATACCTAAAACTAAAACATTCGCAGTGATTTAATTAATTTAGCATTGATCAGTGAAAAAACTAAAAATAATCATTTTCATGGTGATCACTGAGTCTGGGAGCGGCCATCTTTGTCCAAATACAGTAACCCCTCCCTCCTGCCATCTTCCAGCAGTGACGTCACGGTGCGGTTAGCCTAGCGCCATTCTCCCCGCTTTCCAAGCTAAATCAATGGGAACTACTAGACACATCTGCAATCAACAACAATTATTGAAGATTTCCAGAGGACTTCACCATTGAAATTCACCAGAGCTATAGTGAAACTGCCAATGCCCACGTGCATGGCAGCTGGATGCTGTGATACACCAGGTAAAAGTGAAAAAAAAAAATG